ACAAAGATCTCGGCCTGAAAGACTAATGCAGGGAGCCGAGAGCCCGGCTAGATTCAAATTCGACTTCGCTCTCATATACTCATTCGTGAATTGTGACCCATTCGTGAAATAGGTGAGCCTGCTTTGACGGATCAGTTCAGGCTCTTGTTCCAGGCTCATTTCCCGTCAGGAAATTAAAACAAGAAGGGAAATGAAAATTCAAATTGGGGAGTAATGCTGTCCTGTACCATAGAAAGCACAGGACAACAATCCAGGTCCTGTCTCCAGATGTCGCAATGGCCCATCTGCACTGACAAAAAAAGAATTAAAAAATATTAGATGAAAAACGTTTTTTCCTATAATAAATTTCAGTGTTTAAGCACAAAAGTTTAATCTATAGGTAATCTTTAATTGGAAGACAATATAGAAGAATATTAACAAAGATTAAAAAAAAACAGGATCATAAACAGGGTTATGATCCTGTTTATGATCCTGTTTTTAAAGATTAAAAAAAAACAGGATCATAAACAGGGTTGTGTTGGATCTTTCACTTTGTCTATAAAGGATAAATTATTTAAACCGAGCTTTCGGTTCATACCAAGTTATGAATATTGCAGATGTAATTTAACAACTCTAAACTGATACAAAGTTTCGTATGTTATTTAATTTTATACTCATTTTAGAAATACATAAGAGCACAGTTTCTATCACAAGCAATTACAACGATCTGTATAAAAGACTTTTCAAATAAAAAAACTATAGACATCAATAGGTACCTTTTGAGTTAGTTTTGTACAAGAATTTATAGAACTAATATGACTACGCCGACAAACTTCAAATAGAGCACAACAATAGATGCAAATAAGTTTATTTTACCAAACAGAAATAGAAATATTGGGTATAAAAAATAACGGGTAGCTCTATTAGACACGGGAAGGTAGGGATACATGAAAGACAGTTGGTCATTGATCTATACTCAAATACCCCATTTAGGAGCTCTTACCAGATCAGTATTCGGCTTGAACTTTCAGAACGGTTGACCTTTAATTATCACCTTAAGGCCCGGGGTTCGAGGTTTTACCAGATCAGTTCTTCGGTTTGAACTCGGTTCTCTCTAATGATTTACGGCATGTTATATCTTTAGCGGTTTTCTATAACCAGCGTGTATCGATGGTATTGGTGGCCACTAGTGACAGTGCAGACATAAAGTGGGACAGCCGTCAGCAAGTGTAGTTGGCTAATGATGACGGCATGCCATCCTTACAATAAACATATACATTTATTACATTCTTAAAAAACTATATCGTTTTCTTAATATTATATCACCACCATCGTCATCATATTCGTGACTACCCAAACAAATTATAATTGGCCCTATTGTTTCTTTTATTATGATATCAAATTTCCAGAGTTTTTCTTCCTATAACATGTCTTATATTTTATATTAAGTAATTTGCTAGTTGATGAATAGCTTCAAGTTTAAATGTGATATTGTTTTTCACCACATGTCCCCTCATTTGAGCAAATATGTGCTAAGTCAAGTTACACCAAAATTTATAAAAAAAAATTAAAAAAAACGATCTAGGTGAGAAAGTCATTAAGATATAAAAGGAACCCAAGTTCAATAAATACATACTTAACGTCGATGTTAAGATAGTGCAAGTTTTCGATAACATTGTGCTAACCAGAAGACGTAATTAGGGCAAAGTTTTTTGATTTACTGGAAAATCTTAATTCAAGAATCTAGTTAGAGAAACTGACTACCTACTTTAGAATTAAAAGTTTTAGTCACACTATTGATGTTTGTGGTTTCTAATATTGAAATATTAATTTATCATATAGTAATTGTATTAAAAAAAAGTTAAGTACTAGTATATTACCATGCAATATCAGTATCTGAATATTTTTGCTTTTTCAAGCAGCACAAGTTTTAGATTTATTAATATTAAGTCCTTTTATAAAAAATCTGCCGTAGATTCGTCAAATCTAAAGCAAGTAACATTGTAAAAACTACGAAATTATACGCTATTTCACGATATTTCTTTGCAATGAAATTCAGATATGCATTCCAAAACGGAATACTGGCACAGGATATTTACTTTCTGCCTGTGTGGAAGTAATATTAAATAAGTTTGTTTTCGTTTGGTGTTTAAACATCTTTGTTTAAAAAGTTAAATATTATTACGTTTCTAATCCAAATGCAGGTATAAAAGTACAGTATATAAACGAACATCGGCGTGACATAAATAAGTCATAAGACATAAATAAGTCTCAAAATATGTTTTTTTTTTCAATAGCTTTGTATAAAATAATCCAATGGACACCATGGTATCATCGTTTTACAAAAGTTTCACCAATTAGGTGAAAATAACATTGTGGGATGGTCATCGCCGTTTGACCAAATCATATCGATATAACGGTACCTTTTAGATAGTTTTTAAAATTATTGATAATTTAACATTCCAATTTTTCTTCCTTCTATTGGGAAATACGCCACTGGATTGTTGCCCCCGGAATCTCCCGGATCAAGGGTAGGCCTCCTGGGTCAACCGAAGCCGGAACAAGCTGACGCGTTAGGGGGTGCTCTTTAAGGGTTGTAATCGAAAAATCTATGATAATATTTACCCTGCTTCCTTCTGTCAAATGCGTTCTGTATTATGTTCAAGCCTTAGCTCAAGCTGTCTCTTTGTTTGTATTTGATTTCAATCCGAAGATTTCTTTTCTTGTGTATTATGTTTGCACTTCGTTTTTATTGTATAGTAAATATGCGACAAAAATTTAAGCAAATAAATAGAAATTGTAATATAAATAAATCAGTGATATATAAAAGTGTGGATGAAATTTAAAATTAAGGCAGTGAAAGCACAACTATTAACCATCTTAACTACGTAGACGAAAAGTACTGGACAACTACAAAAACTAGATTAGAAACATAAATGTAATCGAGGTGACCTAAAGGAATAATTCAGGTTTTTCTTTTATTTTTGAAGACGTCGAAAAAGGATATTGAGCTACTTATTCTCTAAAATTATGAGACTATTGTCAAAAATGGCGATAGGACGAAAATTAAAACGTATTTAAAATCTTTTTTTCGTGTTTTAAAAGGTGCTATATCTCATGCAGATGAGATAAAGATAATTAAGATAGTAAAAGAATTTTACACAGAATTATATATACAAAGAGAGTACATACAAAGAAAGACGGCATCAAGTTAAGAAAAGTTTAGAATGTGGGTTCAGAGGATATCCCAGAAATAACAATCGAAGAAGTCTCAAAGTCATTAAATCGAATGAAAAGCAATAAAGCCGCTGGTGACGACCAAATCGTTATTGAGGCAGTTAAAGCAGGAGGAAAGACAGTATTGAAAGCATTGACACAATTATATAACTTATGCCTTTCAAAAGAGGTTACACCATCTCAGTGGAATATAACTGTTATAGTAGTCATGCACAAAAAGGGAGATATAACAGAGCTAAAGAACTATAGACCTACTAGCTTGTTATCTCACGTTTATAAGTTGTTTATGAAGATAATAACTAATAGGTTGGCATCAAAACTAGGCATCAACCTTGCGAGCAAGCTGGATTAAGAGCTCGATACGGAACAAATGATGCAAACCATTAAGTCGTTGATTGAAAAAAACCATTGAATATAATGGACCCCTGATACTTGTCTTTGTCGACTTTGAAAAAGCATTTGATACGGTCAATCAAAGTGAAATTCTCCAAGCTCTAACACAATGTAGAATAGATCACCGATGCATATCCCTCATCAGAAACATCTATCAGTATGGTACAATCTGTTTAGGACTTAAGATACTGGGACTTTTCGTATTGAAAGAGGCGTTCGGCAAGGAGACAACATGTCTCCTAAATTATTTACAACTTTGATAGAATACGCTTGCAAAACAATAGATTGGAACGAAAAAGGCATCAATATAGATTATTGTTTTTAAATAACCTTAAATTTGCAGATGACATCGTTCTTATTGCAGACAGCTTTGATCAGGCACATATAATGCTCCAAGAACTTCATACTGCCACAAAAAGAGTTAATAGAGTTAATTAATAAATTTTTCAAAAACACATAAACACATAAATTTATGACAAATTTAGTCCACAACAAAAACATCTTAGTAGGAGACAAAGATATTGAGCCAGTTGACTCCTATAAATACTTGGGCCATAAGATCAGAATAAGTTGAGAAAACCAAACAATCGAGCTGAAAAGAAGAATAAACTTCGCTTGGGTTGCATTTGGAAAGATGCAAGACACTTTTAGGTCTAAGATTCTAATGTGTCTGAAAAGAAAAGTATTTAATCAGTGTATTTTGAAAGTGATGACCTACAGCGCAGAAACGCTAACACTCACAAGAACAACAGTGCGTAAACTACAAGTTACGGAAAGGGCAATGGAGAAAATAATGTTAGGGATTTCTATATCCCTAATACCCAATGCTACTATACGCAAAATATCAGGAGTAGCAGACGTTATTGAAAGGATAACAACAATAAAGTGGAACTGGCAAGTCATGTAGCAAGATCAGTTGATGACCGGTAGACAAAAGGAATTTTTGAATGGAGACTCCAAATACAAGCTAACAGAAAAAGAGGTCGACCCCCAACGAGCTGGACAGATGACAAAAAATAAGTGACTATAAATTGGATTCAGATAGCGCAAAATCGGACTAAGTGGAAAAGCATGCGAGAGGCCTATGTTCAGCAGTGGACGTTAGAGGCTAGTTGATGATGATGATGATGTATGAAGTATTTTAAATAAAAGTCAAATCTCTAAAATATTTTTTTGTTGAGTGGATAATATTTTCAACGTATTTTGTTTTTTATTACAAAAGTGAAAGAATTTAATTTTTTTTTCTCTGAAAAAATGGCTTGTAAGCGAGAGCTTAACTGTAGAATCCCTGTGAACACAGATTTTACTAAATTTTTTTATATACTTGGATATTAATAAAATTTGATATGAAACGTCGCTGATATTATATATTTTAAATTACACTCAAAACAGGTACTTCAAATATTTATTTACTTTGTTGACTTTGCTTTCGCGTTTGATGGGGTAAACTATCGAACTCAGTAGCATATATTACTTTCATGCAATTTGCCATTCCGCATTCTGGCCTTGAAGATGTAACCGTTACGATGACATCTCCCATTTTAATATAACCTAAAAATATAAATATTGAGATTATTTTGAGACCTGACCAAGGAATTTTTTTAGAAATAGTTTGTATATTATTATGTTCTTATATATATAATATCGTTATAATAATATGGTTGCTAAACAGGTAAATTTTCATTGTATACCGGGTGTACCAATTAAACTGTGTTTTTTTTAGTTGTATCACTCTGTGGAATATCCATTTATAAAATATTGAAATTAAAACCTAACTATAGCCTCATGTTTTCTCAACACTTTGTTTTTTTATTCATTCACTTATGTTGAATAATACAAAAGTTAGGTAGTTTAACAACTAGCCATGTTTTTCATCAATGCAGACGTTGTTCGGTGATTTAACTCACCCGCAAAATTAACCCCACCATATTGTTTTGTTTACATTATGTTTCCTAAATTTGTGTCATCAAAAGATTTTTGACATATAGTCGTTGTACGACAATGTTGCAAATCTGTTTCCGTGTTAATAACAGTTCTTGAACAATTTGTAATTAAAATTAACAATTAGAATTGTAATTTTATATCATTGTGAGCGAATATTGTTTAAGTTAAAATTTTATTGGATATTTATTGTTTGTGATTTTAAAAATGCCACTCGTTCCACTGATGCTGCTAGGTCAGTGGGTTTAGTTGATGCTAGTTACAGTCAACGTCATATCGCTGGTATACGCGATGTATCCAGAACTACGGTATAAGATGCCATAAGACGATTTCGTGAGACAAGATCGTACAACTGCAGGCCAGGTCAAGGCCTACAACGATGCACTTCAGTTCGAGATGACCGTGTCATTGTCACTAAAGTATAGAGAAATCGCTTTTGCACAGTTTCTGAAGCTCATTAGACTTCATTTTGCGCGAGAAAATGCTAACTGGACTATGACGGAATGGAAGAATATACTGTTCTCAGACGAGAGCAGACTAGCCCTAAAAGTTCCAGATGAACTCCAACGTGTCTATAGGCGTCGAAATAAAAGGTTTGCTGCATGCGCTATAACCGAAACAGTGGCTTACCGAGGGGGGTCAGTAATAATTTGGGGAGGTATTTCTTACGAAGCGCGTACTGATCTTCGGTGTTCGGTAGAGGCAGTGTGAATTCTCAAGTATACATGCAAGAAGTTCTTCAAGACCATGTCATTCCTTTTGCACCATTCATTGGTGATAACTTCAGACTAATGCATGACAATGCACGTTGCCATACAGCAAGTTCTACCATGGCCAGCATACAGTCACTATCTTAACCCAATTGAGCATATCTGGAGCAACCTCAAAAGACGAGTAAGGACAAGAGTACCAGCCCTTTCATCCTTTAAAGAGCTGAATACAGCTGCTGTAGGGGAGTGGCACAATATCCCCCACTCTGATATCCAGGATATCATGAATGGATTGCCAAACCGGCTCCAAGAAGTCCTAAGGGCTAGAAACGCAACACCCATTATTGATACTTACCAATTTTTTTTTTAAATAGACTTTGATTTCCAAAATATTATTAATTTGAATTTTCTTTGAAGATTTTATTCATTGGATTTTTACTGTAACAAATGACTTTTTTTTTAAAAGATTATTTTTTCTCTTCCACGGAAATAAAAATTGATAAAAAAATATGTTAAAGCACCTAACTTTTGTATTATTCAACATAAGCGAATCAATCAAAAGTGAAATGTTGAGAAAGCATGAGGCTATAGTTACGATTTAATTTTAGTATTCTACAAATGCTAGAATATTGCACAGGATGATGCAAACTTTAAAAAAAAAACATAGTTTGATTCGTACACACGGTATACAATGAAACAATCAAACATAGCAGTATTATTATAAACATATTGTCAACAAATAAGGCTATAACATATTAAAAAAATCACGTAAATCGGACAACAGGTTTAGGAAATATAAGAAATCAAAAATTACCTATTTTTAAGGTGGCCGGTTAATTTTGGCCCAGAGTGTATATATATAGAAAAGAAATTTAATCTTTGCAGATAAGTAAAATAGTAAACTATACATATACATATATATATATATATATATATATATATATATAAATATATATATATATATATATATATATATATATATATATATATGTATATATATATAAATATATATATATATATATATATATATATATATATATATATATATATGTATATATATATATATATATATATATATATCTATATATATATATATATATATATATATATATATATTGTCATGATTGTTTATTTTGAGTTCAAACTTAGTTTATTGAGCCAATAAAAAAGAATTATAACTTATTTGTTATCAAAAGTAAAATAATCCTTATATTACCTGTGTTCGATGGATTCAAAAGATTTTCTAGTTGTCTTTTATCGGGATAGAGAAGAAAAGGATAAGAATACAAATGTACTATATTACAAAGATTTACGTTTCTTTATTTTATATGAACGAATAAAACAATAATTAAATTCTGTCGTTATCTGATCAATCAGCATACAAGAAAATAAATCAAATTATTATGATAATAAGATTATAAAGCTACATACATTTATATTACGTGAAAAACCAATTTTACTTAAAATTTTCTTTACTTGAAAAAAAAGAAACCACAAAACTTTAAACTTTTGATTAGCCTAACAAAACCTCAGTTCTTAAATTTTAATGATAATGACCATGATGTCGAAACGATCCTTTACAGATATAAAATTCAATTGTACAAACACTTACAGTTTATTTTCTTCTTGAGTTGTATGTTGGAACATACCCAGAAAAGTCCAGTCTCCTCAAATATGTGATCTCCTCTCTTTGGCACCTCGGCTCCTTCTTTACGTCTCTGCAAACCTCCTTCAGACTACACAAAAAACACCTGATTCACTTCTCCAAACTCCGCTACTTATTTATGACACCAGGACCTCCTTTTGTCAACTTGCTGCCGTAAGAATACTTTCACATATACTTTATAAAATGCCCACGGTAAATACAAGGACCTCTTTTAATCCACTTGTTATCTCCTTCTTCAAACTATTCACTTCTTTTCGTTACGCCGGTATCCAAACTCACGAACCACACCCTATCTTGAGACAAACGACTGTTTCCTTTCGATGACCAAAATATGACTAACTTCTCCTCTCTCATGATCGACTCACCAAATTCCCATTTAAAAACGACCGTCCAATCAAAAAGCTTAAATTGTGTTTACCATGATTTTGGAAAAGCCTAATTTCGGTTTCAGAGAAAACTAAATAGCTTACTTTAAAATTGTTTTTTTTTTTTCAATACATCATTTATACATATTTCAAAAGATTAAAATATGGTCATTTAATACTCGACTATACAAACAATGAAAAGATTAACTTACAGGTAAAATGTCTTCTAATTCTAAACAAAGGTTTTTTGATAATTTTGTTTGAAACGGAAAAATTTCTATTCTTATCTACACTAAATCTTATCTTAAATTACTATATACAATTTGTTTATATTGATATCTTGAAATTTTATTTCGATGGATTTTTTTATTTATTTTTCTTTGGTTGGAAAAGAAAAAGTATGACAATATATATATATATATATATATATATATATATATATATATATATATATATATATATATATATATATATGTATATATGTATGTACAGCATATTAAAATATACATACATATTAAAATTTATAACAAAAATGTATATATTTGTATTTGTATCGATTTTTTTAATGCGATTACCCATGAGCTTTCCATAAGTCACTCCCAACTGGACCCTGTTGTCAACATCTCTGTTCCATTCGCCACAGAACGGTCTGAGGTAGATTAAAGGTTCAACACCTCTGTAAAGACAAAGTTGTCGTGCTACTCTAGGATATCGAGTTATAACTATAATAGGACATCGTGGTCTGCACCTAAAAAATTATACAAAATATAAAGATTTAATATCACAACTAGTAGCGAACCTTTAGAGTTAAACGTAGACACTGTTTATATTAAGAATGAGAAACTAAGTTAAAGCTATCACAATCATCATCATCAACCTGTATGCGTCTACTGCTGGATATAGGTCTCCCTTTGCTGTTTTTATCTATTTCTGTGTTATGCTTGCACCATGTTATTGATAACACGCTTCAGGTTGTCAGGCCATCTAGTTGGTGGGCGTCCTCTGCTCCTTATTTCTTCTTGCCTTGGACTCCACTCTAAAATAAGTTTTGTCCATCGATTATCTGATATTCTGGCGACGTGTCCTGCCTAATTCCATTTTTCGATTGCATCTCTGGTTTTTGTTTTTTGCTCTACGACGTATTTCTTCGCTTGGGATTCGGTCTCTTAGAGAGACACCCAACATATGGCGCCCAAAACACATTGATCAAAGATTTTCTTTTAAGGCATGGGAATGGGCAGATTTTGAGATATGGGTAGATCCGATTTGGATACATGGACTACATTTACTACATTTACCAAACGCTGCCCAGGCTAATCCTATTTGACGTTGGAGCTCACATATCTGGTTAGTTCTGTTCAACCAAATTTCATGTCACAAGTACTTATACGATGTATTCTGCACAATATCCCTTCCATCAACAGCAATGTTTTGATTAAGCATCAGATTAGTCATTATTTACGTCTTGTTTATATTAATCTTTAGTCCTACCTCGTCGGACCTCGTTCGATCTCAAGGAAGCGTGATATAATTTTTCAAACAATATTATTGCATCGTCCATATTATCGGCTATAAGGACGATGTCATCTGCAAATCTCAAATGACTGAGCTTCTCTCCATTTATGTCGATACCATGCTCGTTCATATGTGCCATCTTACAACTATGTTCTAAAGGCGTCATAAATATCTTTGTAAAGACGATGTCTCCTTGCCGTACTCCTCGCTGTATACAGAATTTTTTTTTTTTTTTATTCAGATAGTCTTATGCTAGCTGTGGCATTTTTGTAGATATATTTGATTGTGTTAGTAAAACGATGGTCTATTCGGCATCTGTCAATGATTTCAACATTTTTTGATAGCTTTTGATATCGAAGCTTTCTCGTAGTTGACAAATATCAGTGCCAATGGTTTGTTGTATTCTACAGCTTTTTCTCTAGGCTGATAGAAGCCTAATTTAGCGTCCAGTGTTTTTTCGATAATTTTTGTGAAAAGTTTATTTTCTTCTTCTTCAGAAGCAAATCCACTAATGGATGTTAGCGATCACATTTTCCATTATTTCTCTATTTCTTGCAATATGTATCAGAGGTTGTATGTCGTTAATCCCTGTCCATTGCCTTATGTTTCGGAGCCAGGACATTTTCTTGCGTTTCATTAATCTCTACCTTCAATTTTACCCTTGATTATAAGTTGGAAGAACTGGTATTTTTCATTTCGCATGATGTGACCTAGATACGCTGCTTTCCTTTTCTGGATGGTTTCGAAAAGTTGGCGTTCTTGGTTTATTCTTTTAAGGACATCTATATTAGTGATTTTCGCTGTCCATGGTATTTTTAGGATACGGCGATAGAGCCACATTTCGAAAGCTTCTAATCTGTTTATATCCCTCGTTTTGAGTGTCCAGCCCTCTACGCCATATAGCAGCACTGACCACACGTAGCACTTAGTAAACCTTAGTCTCAGTTGAAGATCGAACTCTGAACAAGTCAGTACCTTCTTGAATTTTACGAAAGCTTGTCGAGCTTGCTTAATGCGACATTTTACTTCCCTGTCCGATGCTCAGTCTTCAAAAAGCCATGATCCCAGGTATTTAAATTTACTCACTCTTTCAATGGACTTAGTATTCAGTGTTATGGTGGGGTTTTCAAGTGCATCCCAGTTTCTGGAGATCATCATAAATTTGGTTTTTTTGATAATAATCTCTATCCCATTCGCTTACTGTATTCTTCGATTATAGTGACAAGTTGTTGAAGATCGACTATGTTGTCACAAATTAAGACACCATCATCAGCATATCGAATGTTGTTGATCAATACTCCATTCAAGTTGATTCCCATCTTTGCATCCTCCAAAGACTCTTGAAATATGGCTTCCGAATAAATGTTAAATAAAAGAGGGGAAAGTACACATCTCTGTCGAACGCCCCTTCTTATATGTATGGGTTTGGATATATAATTGTCTATTTTTAACTGTGCCGTTTGATGCCAGTACAAGTTTTCAATGCATCTTATGTCTTTTTGGTCTATATCAACTTTCTTGAGGATCTGCATTAACTTGTGGTGTTGGACACGATCAAACGCTTTTTGGTAACCAAAAAGCATAGGAACACATCCTTCTTCTGATCGTAACAATTTTGGACCAGCACCTGTGTTGCTGCTATTGCTTCTCGTGTTCCTAAACCTTGCCTAAACCCGAACTGGGAGTCACTGATACCCCATTCACATTTGAAAGTTTATATTATGTGTGAAAGCAAACTAATAGGACGGTAGTTTTTTTTAAATCTGTTATGTCTGTTTTCTTGTATATGTAATTAAATAATGACTGTATTGTTCATTAAGAAGAAGTTTTTCCTGGGTTAATGCATTCTGTGGAAAGCTTAGCCAAAGCCTGGATAAATTTATTTCCTAGTTTGATCGCTTTGATTACTACTTAATTATCGCCAGGGGATTTGTTATTTTTTATTTCTAAAAGTGCCGTTTTGATTTCGTATGGATATTACAACACCGTATCATTAATTCTGAAGCTATTTTCTTGTGGCATTGTAAATTAATTACTATTTAAATGGGAATAAGCCACAATTAAAGGTAAAAGTAAGTTCATTGACGTTTCAATTTCCACTTCGGAAATCGTTCTCAAAATACAAACGGTTTGTATTTTGAGAACGATTTCCGAAGTGGAAATTGAAACGTCAATAAACGTATTTTTATCTTTAATTGTGGCTTATTCCCAGTTTAATAGTAACCATATCATTAAGATATCATACTAACAAAAGTTATAGAAGAGGTAACAAATTATGTAGATTTGGTGAAAGATATATGGGTAGAAAATAAACAGATCCAAACTTATTTAATAAAAGTAAACAATTAATTATATAGAGAAAATAAAATGGCGATACATTACATAAAAAATAATGGTAAGTTTTAAAACATCCCAACAAACAGAAATTTCCCAAAGCGGGTACAAATCGCGAATACGGCTTTATATTTATTTGAAACTCATATAGCAACACAAAAGAAAAATTCAAGAAAATGGTAATAAAAATACAACAGCAGCGCCTGGCAACCGCAACTTAAGGCGATACTTATTTAGTAAACCGGAGAAGCAAGGTTCGATCCTCCGGGTCACGTAATCGTGGTAGTAGTAGTAAAAAAAGACGAACGCTGTTAATCAAGTCATACACGATACAATCTATCGTACAACAACTTGTACGACAAATTGTAGAGACAATTGGAATGACAAATTGGAAACAGGTTTGTCCACATACGCCTATCATGTGGTAAAACTCTGACATTTTTCTGTACTGTTCTATTTCATTCCGCTTACGCTTCCAATCTCCAACAGTTACTTTTCCAACATCTAAATCTGAAGCAACCTTCTTTATTGATACACTCTTGTTCATTTTACTCTGATTAACATAGTAACAATAAATGTAGACAAAATGCGATACAGACATTTCTGGAAAAAAGGCAATGACCAATTTCTCAAAGATTCGGCTAGACCTAACAGTGCATAACTATTCCCAATATTGTGATTTACCAGTTACGACTTTTGTCTCGGTTAACCAACGGACTCGGATAACCCAGACTTGGATAATCGCGAGTCTACTGTATTTCAATAAATTCTTCCCCAAACCTTTCGTTCTTTTGCATGATAACGTTCAGTCACTAAACTAAAATCGAACGGCCAGTTGATGAATGCGTCTACACGTTCAAACTTGTCGTACGCAGCACTCAGTTGTACAACAGATTTTTGTGCATGTCAAACTTTCGTACGATTCGACCTGGTCGTACTGCAGTTTGAACTACAACGCCAATAATGTTGCAATTATCGTTCAAACGGTCTTTTCAACTAAAATTGTACAACTTATTGTAAGATAGATTGTATCGTGTATGGCACGTTTTAAACGTTATCGTAAGTTTTGAAACCCTAACCGACTCCGAACTAATTGGAAAAAGTTATAATCAGCCGAGACTTATTTAGGTAAATCTGTACGATAATGATAATGATAATCAAGTCATTATTGCATAGGATGAATAGGACAAAGACAAAGGACATGATAAAAAACAGGACATTAAATAAATTCTTACAATTATCAACAATATAATAATAACAAATCTAACGATTAATGATGAAGTAAAAGTAAAGCAAAAGTTTAAATACCTGAGAATATAGAGCAAAATAAAAAGAAAGTAACCTGCAATAAAAAGATTTTCTCATTCTTCGTTAATGCATGACTTACCAATGCCTTACTTGGAAGAAATACATCCAGTAAACTTGAGTTACAACCAATGTAGTGCTTAATGCTTCCCAAAACTCAAAGAAGACACACAATAAGTGTAGCATACACCACGAAAACCAACTATTTAGGGATCCACCACAACAATGATCCAGTCAAAAGAAGACAGAATTGTCCTCATAGTCTACTTCAAGACTAAGCTAACGCAGAATAAGATGAAATATGGCTGTGAGACGTGAAGATCTTCCCTTGTCTTAAAATGGAAACAAACTTACTTAATACTCTAAAACGAGTAAAGAAACGTTGTTCCATAAAAAGGTAGAATCTGAATAAATGTACACACCTGGATATAATTCTTGCAGTTCTACCCGAAGAAGTCAGACACACGATAGCGGCTGCATTGCTACTTGAAGCTGCCTCCACAACAGAAATCCCAAGGCTGTATATAGGTTCCATTGGAGCGGGAAAATGACTTACTAGGTCGGAAAATAGTTGCTTTTGATGAATTGCTGGTTCTGCTTCTTTACAAATGATACTAACAAATTTAATAATATCTTTATTGTTTGTATTTCGTGGTAGAAGTAGGGCATCGGTACCACTAAGGACTGAGTTTGTGATATCAATTACTTCTGATTTTGAAATTTCTGTAGCGTTCGCTACGGATGATGTGCTAATTATTGGTTTTCCTAGAAAATATGAATTGGTATTAGTAGGTTGCGGTAGAAGTGACCACAGTTAATTTCATTACACTTTTAATAGAAGATTTAGATCTGTGTTGGTTAAGAAAAATTCGTAAGATATAAGTATGCATTTTACAAAAAACTTAAAATAATTGTTTACCTGCCAAATTGCATTTTGCTGCTATAGATTTCTGGATTAAAAACACTTTTTCCTTAGGCAATTCAATAACAAGTCGATCGGCATCGATTAGTATTCCATCTGCAATTTTGATTATTTCGTCGATATTTTCTACGGCAATTTCAGTGTCTACTTTGACTACGATAAGAATGGCGTTCCCACGAGACCCGAGAATATCTTTCACATCGAGAACACCTGAAATGTGTAAGATAGAATTCGTTAGGTTTACGTGAACTCTATGCAGAGATTACTAAATTAAGACTAATGATTTTAAAAGAAAAAAGAAGGACGAAATTGCGTTTATGGACATTATTTATAAACAAAAAAAAAAGTTTTTTTATTTTTATCAAATACAGTTTTTAAAACATGTTTTAAAACGACTTTCAAGATTTTGAAACAATTTAAAAAAAAATTATTATAATACAAAAAATAATCTCATTTTTATTGAGTCCATTACTAATATATTTGGATTTGCCCACTCACCTTGTTTGTTCTGAATGCCGGATACAAAAAGGTACTCAACACATTCTCCAATAGCCATTTTTAATAGTTCTTTGTCACTGGCCGATATCGCCGGCAAAGGTATCGTGGCATTCGGTACTGTTACTGAGGCGTTACTGATAAGCATCCCTTAAAAAAGGTTACAAAATAAGCACCCCATCAAATAAAAGTATTAAAAAGAAGCAAAAAAATATAAATACGAAAAATAGCAACATTGAATATTAAGACGTTATTAAGAACTGGAAAGGTGAAAGAAGTAGCAAGAACGTTAAAAAATATACAATAGAAATCGTTACGATACAAGAAGGCTTAACTCTAATAAATGAAAAAAAAAGTAGAACGATATATGGTTCACCTGCTTTATCTACAATACATCTAATAATGCTCTCTACACAATCTAGAGCTACCAATGTAACAGATCCATTATCCAACACAACTTGGTCCCCAGGCTGAACAACATTGGGAAAGTTATCATAGTCTACGTATATCATATCTTCGTTGACAAATTCTTCCAAATCTGGTTGTGTGGTGAGTTTAGTCTCTTTCCCTTCTTCCATATATATTTGTTTTTTATTCCCTTTCAATGAACCGATTCTTATCTCAGGCCCTTTGATTTCTAGTCCAATACCCAATGGAACTACGCGTCTAATTTTTCTACTAAAGATATCAACCATTGTTCGCACTTTTACTAGTACTTCCTTTAATTTATCAAGATTTGGAGCTACTAACACAGCTACCCGCATTCCTCCAGCTAGCAATTCTTCAATAGTATTCAGGGATATATTCGGATTGATGCTGCAAACAATTTGAGTTGATTTGAATCTTGCTGGAATTGATCTTATGTTGAGTTTCGTAAGATAATCGATGTTGCTTGTACAGAACGCTGCTTCATACTGGTTATTTAAAACATCTTTTGCTTCATTGCTGTTAAAATCTATCATCCATGGTAGTTTTGGACAATTTCTTAAACAGTCCATGTTGGTACTATAAATTTTGAAGTAAATACAATATTTTAATAAAAAATATTATATATCTTGTCAATAGACGTCAATATTTAACACTAATTGACATTTTTGAGTTGTTTTTTTTTCGTAGGGTCATTTTTTTAGTTTTTATTAAACATACAATTAGGCGGGTGGCTTTTGACGCAAAAGGAGGATTTCATATTCACTAAAATAGCTGAAATTTATTTTATTCGATATATTATGATGCCAGCATGCTATGTTAAACAGTTTACCAAAAATTTTCTACATGCCTATCATTTATTATTTACTTTATAAACAAATTATAAAAAATTGTTTTTTTTTGGTTCAAAATTACGGCATTTGTTAAGGTCAAAATTATTCTTGTGATTTTTTCGTAGAAAGTTTTCTTAAAGCTTTAAAGTTTTAAATATATTAACTATTTTGTATCCACAAGCTGACAGAGTCAAAAATTTTGATGCATACTGGAAAATGACAAACATTACGGACCTACATTTTGAAATTGCTTGACTTAAACTTTCGCCTCATATTTATTGCTTTTTTTTTAATTTAATGCTTAACCTGTTTCAAAATGGCTTCAAAAAAATGCTAAAATTAGGCTTTTTTCGGTATAACTTTCTATAACCCTCATTATCAAAAAAAGTATTGAAGCAAAAAGGGATTTTTTTAATTTGTTTAAAACAACTTTTAAATAAAGAGGTTCTTGTGGAAAACTTTTAAATTTTTAAACATATTGCATTTGCATCATATTCTATCGATTAAAACAAGTTTTAGCTTGTATTCTCTGTTCACAAATTGTTGATAGCACGAAATATGCCTCAAAATCATCAAACGGTCGTAAAATTTGTATCATCATAGGCGTTCCTGAGGTGTTTATTCATTAAAATTAATATTAATATTAATAATGTTTTAATACTGATATATTTAGTAAAAAACAATTAAAACTTTCACGGCTAATGTTGGTTATTATATTATATTAATAAAAATAATAATTTACCCATTAACAATTTTGTAAATAAGAATACCTTATCTCTTTGGATATTTCAATATAATCTTCGCGTTTAATCACTTTACTAGAAAACCTGGTATTTTATATCCGAAGGTACTATCGGTTGCAAGATAATTAGATGGAATTCCCCAGATTTTTAATAATATAATGGGTATAGATGCCGGATTTGGCCACGTACCTCGTCTGTTTAGTTTATATTCGAAACTTAACTTAAAAGGGTGAAGTTATTACGAACAAAAACAATTTGTTTGTTTAGTACGTTTTTGATCGCATGTAATTTACGGCTCGTCGGTGTTTCCGCTTCTACGGCAGTAATTAGCGTCTCGAATATTTCTTTTGCGAATTATATGCAGTGCGTGAGTGATTTTTTATTCCATATACCTACGAACATATACGTACCTTTCGCTCGTGCTCGTTTTGTTGGATTGTTTGTGATGGCTTCATCATCAACATCATCAAGTTTTACACCGGTACTGTTGCGTACAGTCAGTAAGTCTGTCTATTCACCAAGAGAGGAGACTATTGTCCTGAATGTTCACGATGCTCTGGTTTCTCTCAGAATCCCACAAACACTATTCGCAACATAGTCGAAAGTTGTGCCAACATGACTGGCGTAGGGGAGTCAACTATATATAGGCTCCTATCAGAAAGAAAAAAACACGGTATAGCTAACCCAAACACAAACGAACACTTAAAGAGAGGAAAAAAGCCTATTGAACTTGATGAATTTACCAAAAATGGTATTCGAAGGAAACTTCATGGATTTTTTTTCAAAAGAAATACCAAACCTAAATAAAATTTTACAAGAAGTTAGAGATGATCCGGATTTGCCTCATATCGGACGAACTAAATTTGGCAAGTTTTAAAAGAATTAAATTTCCGGTGGGAGAAATCAGACCGAAAATCACTTTTGATTGACCGGAGGAGATAATATGTTGGAGAAGAAATTATCTAAGCTCCATACGAAAATTCCGGGCTGAATGAAGGCCAATCTTCTACCAGGATGAATCGTGGGTAAACTCAGGTCATACTCTAAAAAAAGTTTGGTCAGATAAAAATATATTAAGCTCCAGGCAAGCCTTTATGGAAGGTTGGTCTACTGGTATCTCCCCACCTTCTGGTAAAGGCAGTAGATTAATAATTTCTCACATTGGCAGTGAAAAAGGATTTGTTAAGCATGGTTTGTTGGAATTTGAGTCCAGAAGCACAAAAGACTATCACGAGGAGATGACAGCTGATGTTTTCGAAGAGTATTTTGTTCAGATGATTGAACACATACCACCAAATTCAATTATAGTATTAGATAATGCACCTTATCATTCACGACTAGTAGAAAGACTTCCAACGACTGCGTGGAAAAAACAGGATATTCTTGACTGGCTGCGGAATAAGTAACTGCCTTACGAAGATGGAATGGTAAAAGCAGAACTTTTAAAAATTGCCGGCAACACAAATCTAAGTTCAAGAGATACGTAGTTGACAAAATGGCGGAAAGGAGAAACATCACAATCCTTAGACTTCCACCCTACCACTGCGAAATAAATCCAATTGAACTCATTTGGTCACAAATGAAAAGTTATGTGGCTAGAAAAAATACGTCATATAAAATACAAGCTGTACGTGAATTGTTATACGAGTCTTTACAACACATTACAGAACAAAACTGGAAAGATGCAGTAAGACATGTAATAGAAGAAGAACAAAAAATGTGGGATCTTGATAACATAATTGATGCGACCGTTGAGACACAACCGCTAATTATTAACCCTTAAGACGACTCGGATTCCGAAGTTGATCCTATTTATTTTGAATTTGAATAGTTTTCTAATCGTAATTATATAAGGTAAGTGATAGTAGTTGTAATCGTAAGGTATTAAAGGGGAAAGGCGCAAAACGTCGCCTATCAAAATGTTCAATGTGTTTTAAATGTATCGATTTTTTTTCAAATCCTGAGAAAACTAAAAAGCCTTTTTGGAAAAATTTAAAGGCAGAATTGTATTAGAATACAGTGTACTATATTATGGAGTGGAATCATGGACGTTAAATCTAGATACCATGAGACGACTTAACGCCTTTGAAATGTGGACCTATAGAAGAATTATGAGGGTTTCCTGGGTAGATAAGTTACAAACAATGAAATACTGAGAAGAATAGGCAAAGAGAAGGAAATTGAACTTACAATTAAAGAAAGAAAGCTACAGTATCTCGGACATGTGATGCGGGGCGATAAGTATGGCATCCTGCGACTCATAATGCAAGGAAAAAATAGATGGCAGAAGAAGCATCGGAAGAAGACGAATTTCATGGCTGAAGAACCTGAGAGAATGGTTTGGATGCAGCTCAAAACAACTATTTAGAGCTACTGCCTCAAAAATTAAGATAGCTATGATGATTGCCAACCTCCGTAGCGGAGATGGCACCTGAAGAAGAAGAAGAAAGGCAGAATAAAATATTTATTATAATAAATAAAAAGTTTCTTTTGCATGCAATATTTTCAATTAAAAATTATACTATATTCTCTCTTTTATTTTCACCCCTGTTGCATAACATAATAAAATAAACATTGTAGAAGTTTTCAGGGACTTTCTGTAATCATCAGTATACACATATACAATACCCTCAGTAATAATGTAATCTTTCATTCTGCTTTTAAATTTTTCAAAAATATTTATTAGTTTTCTCCGAATTCGAAAATAATGGATACATTTAAAACACATTTGATGCCTTTCCTCTTAATTAAATAAATGTATCTTTTACAAATGGCAAAAAGCTTTATTTTTGAATAAAATATTTTATTTTATTATAAGTTTTATTAAAACAAAAATACAATTTAAAAAATATATTTATTTAGTTCAAAAAAATGTTTCAATCATATACTCTACGACACTCTCGCCAAAATACGTTCCTAATCGGATTATAAGCTTGACCGCTGTATTGTATTCCGGCAGATACAAGGTGGGTTAGTCGAAAACATCTTAAATCGTCAGTTTCAGGTTAGTTTTTACTATTATATCGTATTACCTATCCTCTCTGTATTTCAGTTCTCTAATTAGGATTAAACTTGTAGTGAGCTATCAACAAATTGTGAACCGAGTATAGGTATAAAAGGACCTTTTTCGACATAAGCTACTAAGGACCAAGGAAACTTACAGTGTAGGGCATATTCTATGACAGCTCTTGATGCTATTGAGAATGAAAATGAGGATGTCGTCATTTAACATGAGCAATCACTAGGCATTGCCGATGATTAAGATTTATTAGAATGTGCTGAAGAACGAAATGATTCTATTTGATCTAACGATTCTGCAGCATTGATTCCGCAAAATACTCCTTCAAATACTCCTCCTACAGCAACAACATCACAGAGTCACAAGTCAAACCAATGTTCAGTTAGTGCAACAATTTGCGTACCCAAGTAATTTGCATATAATTCAGCCGTTGCTACCCGTGCAAACTCCTTTCACACCGGTCTTATGCTTCTTCACCATCAACAACTCACAGTGGTGCCATCGGAACAAGACTCAAAGTTTTATACTAGTATTTCTGGATTAATGGAAGACAACAGCCAATAAATACTATATGCAGTTTTTAATAAAGTATTTCAATAAAGTTATACTTACCTCAAACAAATGTGGTTACCTTCAAATAAATCTTCTGGAAATAAGGGATGTTGCCAGTTACACCACTTTGTAGTATGTAGTTATATATATATATATATATATATATATATATATATATATATATATATATATATATATAATATATATATATATATATATATCCGTTTTTTAGGCGTTACGCCTGTCCGGTAGGGATCTATGGAGGAGTATCACCGAGCCGCAAGCCCTTATCTCTTGCCGTACTGCTCCACCATAGGCCGATCAGATCCCAGCATATCCTAGTCTAAGCCGCAGATTCATCTAGAATTTTAAACTGCTGCGTTAGACTTTTTGTTTTCTGTACACCGAGCTTGGGCTCGATCCCACATCCACTAAACCATTCGACAGTGAAGCGAATGAGAGGCAGCCGCACAGCCCGCTGAGCTATCTGACAGT